GCAAATTCTTAATCGAACTCTACCCACCACGGAGGCCCTTATTGAACGCAAGGTCCCTGTCCTCCCTCGTTGCCCGGTCTGTTGGGGTGGCCCGGAAACAATGGAGCATCTGTTTCTGGATTGTCCGGTGGCGCGTGAGCTCTGGGGCCTCTTCGGGTTAGAGTACCTAGGGGAGGGTTTGCCTCGCCATACTTTTCCTCTGTTTCTTAAACGCTTAATGGCCTTAATTCAGCAGCCGACGCTCCTCATGGCAGTAGTCTCTGTCCTTTGGCGCATCTGGCAATCGAGAAATTGGGTGGTGTTTGAAGGAAAGCAGTTTGGGTTCCCTGTGTTGATGAGGCAGTTTTCCCAGCAGTATGAGGAATGGGTGGGGTTGCCGGGGGATGTCCCCATCGTGCCTTCTCCCCCGGCGGCTCCACGGTCAGGTGGACTGGATCAGGCTGCAGGGTTTATTTGCCAGTGGGATGGGGCTACCAGGAAGGGATCGCATTCAGCAGGTGGTATGGTTCTTCTGGCTGCCTCAGGGGATGTTCTTATGGCTCATGGGATTCAGTTTCGGGGGGTTGATGACCCGGTGGTCGTGGAATTGCTTGTGCTCCGGTGGCCATTACTTGGTGTGTGGGTCAGGGTCTCACGGGGATGCGCTTCGAAGGGGATGCCAAGGATATCATTGATAAAATCAACTACAAGGATGCTAGGGATAACCGAATGGGTGCTGTGTTGGAGGAAGTCTTACATTATTTTGGTAGCAACCCTGGGTTTAGTGTGCGATTTATAGGTCGGAGTAGTAATAGGGTAGCCCATATGGTGGCTAGGAAAGCCCTCTCTTTGTACCCGACTATGAGTTGTTCCTTTGATTTTCGGACCTGGCTTGGATCCAGGGTGTAACTATCTATGTTTTGGTATCAATATATGATTATCTTTTGTCAAAAAAAAAAAAGAAGATGTCATCATGTCTTTCTGTTTTCAAGATAGCAAGCTTAAAGAGAAAGAAAGTTTAAAATGAATAATGAATAAAACACAAGGCTTCTGATGATCACTAAGCCCAATTTACTTCACAAGCAATCTGATGCCACATGAATTAATCGTTTACTAGCGGAAGTTCAATTTTATTATTTGTTTGTGGTGTGTTGCTATTCGGCATTTTTTTTATATATTCTGATATTTGCTGGTACAGTAGCCTATTTTATTTGGTACGGTTTTTTGACAAAAATAATATTTTATTATTTAAAAAATGACATTTTACGGTACGAAACGGTTGAACCACGATCGTACCACAAAATACCGTAACAATAATGAATCCAGTATGACGTCCGGTACGGTTTTCTGATCCATGCTTATTAGACGAGGGAGAAGGACTAGGATGGAGCCTTCCCCCTTGACTATTTCTTAACAATCCTTTCAAAAGCCCTGGTCTAATGAGAAGAAAGCTCGTCTTTGGGATATCCAACATTCTATCTTCCATATCTATTTCATTTTGTCCTTGTATTTGTGAGGATGGAAGGCCACACCTATTGTAGTAGTTAGGGATGAACATTGGGCGCATCATCCACTGAACCCACTCAAATCCACCTGCTCAAACCCGACCAATCATAATATGGGTGGGTATAGTGGGCGGATATGGGTTGCTTCCCGTCTAACCCATCAAAATATGAGCGGGTTGAACCCGCCACCCACCCATTATCGACACTAAATCACAAAAACCTCCTCCAAACTAATTCTTTTCACAATTTCCTTTGTACTTCTTTCCAAAATTTGATCGTTGAATTCTATTTGTCAACCACCAATGATTTTTCTCGAAATTCATGCGTTTATATACTAATTAGTCTTTGTTTCAGATTCCAATTATATCTTTCTCTCTTTACTACTTTTCAAGTAAGCTTATTATACGGTTTTATAAGAGTGTTCCCTAAACTTTCTTTGTTTGTCAATCAAATGGATGTTTTGTTATGGATTCATTTTGATTCATGTTTGGTTATTCATACTTGTATTCAAATCTATCAAAAACAATTTCATCCACCCAATCCACTTGTAACTCGCATCAAATCCACCCAGTAGGGCTGGTAATCAATTAACTAGTTACCTATTTAACAGACTACTGAACCAGTAATCGGAAGTTATCGGTTAAACCGGTAGCTGACGATGTTGGTTGGCGGTAGTAAAAGAATAGCAAACGATATTATCAGTTTTTATTCGGTTTATAACCGGCGATTAGCCAGTATACCGGATATGCAAACCCCATAGGTGAAAACCCTTCTTTCTCTAATCTCTCTCTGTCTTCTTCCCAACAATCCACCACTCACTATCACCATCTCCGTTTCCATCTCCGTCTCCTCTCATTCTCAATGCCTTCTAGATCAAACAAATTCAGCAGCTCACGGTTCCAGGAATCATCCCGCACCCGAAGAACATATTTGATTGTCTCTCTAAGTAACTCCTTCATTGCTTCCTGGGTGTTGCATGGTGGAACAAAGGGATTGGAGAGCAGATCTAAAGCAGAGGGTAGGCCGCAGCATAGCTGTCGGCCAACAAATGTGCACGGATTGAATATTCACCGCTTGATGTGATTAATTGGACGAAGTAGGAAGGAATTCTGAGGAGAGGAAGAGTTATGTCGTTATAGATTCACAAAGCAGGGAGAGCTCTTCCCAGTTCTGGTTTTTTTTCCTACCAAAATTGATTTAATTAGCTCAACCTCTCAGTTCGTTCCCTCTTTTCTGGACTCCATCTCCCATTCTGTCATCCTCGGTGAATCATCGACAAACACCAGCCGACGAACGACGAACACCGGTTGTCAACATGTTCATGTTCAGCGAATCACCGACAAACACCAGTCGTTTTCCTCGATGGTGAATTGTTTCAATGGTGGCGCCCTTGGTTGAGAGCTTGCATTCCTTAGCGTCGGAAGGATGTATGAGGAAGGAGGAGAAAGGAAATGTGAGGATGTGAGAGGCAAAGTTGGTGGTATTGTTGATTTGTGGAGGCAGAGAGTGCATAAAGGTTGGGTAAAAAGCTTTTTCCGCATGTATGATTTGTTGATGCTTTATCCACCTCAATCCTGACTTCATGTTGGACACCAACTGCACTTGCAATCGCTCTTCCCTCTTCTTCGAATTTTGGCTCCATATAGGAATGAACAAGATCTTCCTCTTTCTTGATGTTCATTTCCTCTTCCAAAATTTGGTCAATCTCCCAAAAACTTGCTTGCTTATCAATATCTCGGGAGCTCTCCGAAATGAGTCCTTTTCACTCCTTTAAGTCTTCTTGGCTAGCCCCTCCGGCCTCCGTTTTCTCTTCATATGATCGGGGATGATTGCGAGCAAGTTGTGCACACGCTTGCTTGACCACAAAATACAGTAACAATAATGAATCCAGTATGACGTCCGGTACGGTTTTCTGATCCATGCTTATTAGAGGAGGGAGAAGGACTAGGATGGAGCCTTCCCCCTTGACTATTTCTTAACAATCCTTTCAAAAGCCCTCGTTCAATGAGAAGAAAGCTCGTCTTTGGGATATCCAACATTCTATCTTCCATATCTATTTCATTTTGGCCTTGTATTTGTGAGGATGGAAGGCCACACCTATTGTAGTAGTTAGGGATGAACATTGGGCGCATCATCCCCTGAACCCACTCAAATCCACCTGCTCAAACCCGACCAATCATAGTATGGGTGGGTATAGTGGGCGGATATGGGTTGCTTCCCGTCTAACCCATCAAAATATGAGCGGGTTGAACCCGCCATCCACACATTATCGACACTAAATCACAAAAACATCCTCCAAACTAATTCTTTTCACAATTTCCTTTGTACTTCTTTCCAAAATTTGATCGTTGAATTCTATTTGTCAATCACCAATGATTTTTCCCGAAATTCATGCGTTTATATACTAATTAGTCTTTGTTTCCGATTCCAATTATATCTTTACCTCTTTACTACTTTTCAAGTAAGCTTATTATACGGTTTTATAAGAGTGTTCCCTAAACTTTCTTTTTTGTCAATCAAATGGATGTTTTGTTATGGATTCATTTTGATTCATGTTTGGTTATTCATACTTGTATTCAAATCTATCAAAAACAATTTCATCCACCCAATCCACTTGTAACTCGCATCAAATCCACCCAGTAGGGCTGGTAATCAATTAACCAGTTACCTGTTTAACAGACTACTGAACCAGTAATCAATAGTTATCGGTTAAACCGAAAGCTGACGATGTTGGTTGGCGGTAGTAAAAGAATAGCAAACGATATTATCAGTTTTTATTCCGTTTATAACCGGCGATTAGCCAGTATACCGGATATGCAAACCCCATAGGTGAAAACCCTTCTTTCTCTAGTCTCTCTCGGTCTTCTTCCCAACAATCCACCACTCACTATCACCATCTCCGTTTCCATCTCCGTCTCCTCCCATTCTCAATGCCTTCTAGATCAAACAAATTCAGCAGCTCACGGTTCCAGGAATCATCCCGCACCCGAAGAACATATTTGATTGTCTCTCTAAGTAACTCCTTCATTGCTTCCTGGGTGTTGCATGGTGGAACAAAGGGATTGGAGAGCAGATCTAAAGCAGAGGGTAGGCCGCAGCAGAGCTGTCGGCCAACAAATGTGCATGGATTGAATATTCACCGCTTGATGTGATTAATTGGACGAAGCAGGAAGGAATTCTGAGGAGAGGAAGAGTTATGTCGTTATAGATTCACAAAGCAGGGAGAGCTCTTCCTAGTTCTGGTTTTTTTTTCCTACCAAAATTGATTTAATTAGCTCAACCTCTCAGTTCGTTCCCTCTTTTCTAGACTCCATCTCCCATTCTGTCATCCTCGGTGAATCATCGACAAACACCAGCCGACGAACGACGAACACCGGTTGTCAACATGTTCATGTTCAGCGAATCACCGACAAACACCAGTCATTTTCCTCGATGGTGAATTGTTTCAATGGTGGCGCCCTTGGTTGAGAGCTTGCATTCCTTAGCGTCGGAAGGATGTATGAGGAAGGAGGAGAAAGGAAATGTGAGGATGTGTGAGGCAAAGTTGGTGGTATTGTTGATTTGTGGAGGCAGAGAGTGCATAAAGGTTGGGTAAAAAGCTTTTTCCGCATGTATGATTTGTTGATGCTTTATCCACCTCAATCCTGACTTCATGTTGGACACCAACTGCACTTGCAATCGCTCTTCCCTCTTCTTCGAATTTTGGCTCCATATAGGAATGAACAAGATCTTCCTCTTTCTTGATGTTCATTTCCTCTTCCAAAATTTGGTCCATCTCCCAAAAACTTGCTTGCTTATCAATATCTCGGGAGCTCTCCGAAATGAGTCCTTTTCACTCCTTTAAGTCTTCTTGGCTAGCCCCTCCGGCCTCCGTTTTCTCTTCATATGATCGGGGATGATTGCGAGCAAGTTGTGCACACGCTTGCTTGAACACAAAATATCGTAACAATAATGAATCTAGTATGACGTCCGGTACGGTTTTCTGATCCATGCTTATTAGACGAGGGAGAAGGACTAGGATGGAGCCTTCCCCCTTGACTATTTCTTAACAATCCTTTCAAAAGCCCTCGTCCAATAAGAAGAAAGCTCGTCTTTGGGATATCCAACATTCTATCTTCCATATCTATTTCATTTTGGCCTTGTATTTGTGAGGATGGAAGGCCACACCTATTGTAGTAGTTAGGGATGAACATTGGGCGCATCATCCACTGAACCCACTCAAATCCACCTGCTCAAACCCGACCAATCATAGTATGGGTGGGTATAGTGGGCGAATATGGGTTGCTTCCCGTCCAACCCATCAAAATATGAGCGGGTTGAACCCGCCATCCACACATTATCGACACTAAATCACAAAAACCTCCTCCAAACTAATTCTTTTCACAATTTCCTTTGTACTTCTTTCCAAAATTTGATCGTTGAATTCTATTTGTCAATCACCAATGATTTTTCCCGAAATTCATGCGTTTATATACTAATTAGTCTTTGTTTCCGATTCCAATTATATCTTTACCTCTTTACTACTTTTCAAGTAAGCTTATTATACGGTTTTATAAGAGTGTTACCTAAACTTTCTTTTTTGTCAATCAAATGGATGTTTTGTTATGGATTCATTTTGATTCATGTTTGGTTATTCATACTTGTATTCAAATCTATCAAAAACAATTTCATCCACCCAATCCACTTGTAACTCGCATCAAATCCACCCAGTAGGGCTGGTAATCAATTAACCAGTTACCTGTTTAACAGACTACTGAACCAGTAATCGGAAGTTATCGGTTAAACCGAAAGCTGACGATGTTGGTTGGCGGTAGTAAAAGAATAGCAAACGATATTATCAGTTTTTATTCGGTTTATAACCGGCGATTAGCCAGTATACCGGATATGCAAACCCCATAGGTGAAAACCCTTCTTTCTCTAATCTCTCTTTCTCTTCTTCCCAACAATCCACCACTCACTATCACCATCTCCGTTTCCATCTCCGTCTCCTCCCATTCTCAATGCCTTCTAGATCAAACAAATTCAGCAGCTCACGGTTCCAGGAATCATCCCGCACCCGAAGAACATATTTGATTGTCTCTCTAAGTAACTCCTTCATTGCTTCCTGGGTGTTGCATGGTGGAACAAAGGGATTGGAGAGCAGATCTAAAGCAGAGGGTAGGCCGCAGCAGAGCTGTCGGCCAACAAATGTGCACGGATTGAATATTCACCGCTTGAGGTGATTAATTGGACGAAGCAGGAAGGAATTCTGAGGAGAGGAAGAGTTATGTCGTTATAGATTCACAAAGCAGGGAGAGCTCTTCCTAGTTCTGGTTTTTTTTCCTACCAAAATTGATTTAATTAGCTCAACCTCTCAGTTCGTTCCCTCTTTTCTGGACTCCATCTCCCATTCTGTCATCCTCGGTGAATCATCGACAAACACCAGCCGACGAACGACGAACACCGGTTGTCAACATGTTCATGTTCAGCGAATCACCGACAAACACCAGTCGTTTTCCTCGATGGTGAATTGTTTCAATGGTGGCGCCCTTGGTTGAGAGCTTGCATTCCTTAGCGTCGGAAGGATGTATGAGGAAGGAGGAGAAAGGAAATGTGAGGATGTGAGAGGCAAAGTTGGTGGTATTGTTGATTTGTGGAGGCAGAGAGTGCATAAAGGTTGGGTAAAAAGCTTTTTCCGCATGTATGATTTGTTGATGCTTTATCCACCTCAATCCTGACTTCATGTTGGACACCAACTGCACTTGCAATCGCTCTTCCCTCTTCTTCGAATTTTGGCTCCATATAGGAATGAACAAGATCTTCCTCTTTCTTGATGTTCATTTCCTCTTCCAAAATTTGGTCCATCTCCCAAAAACTTGCTTGCTTATCAATATCTCGGGAGCTCTCCGAAATGAGTCCTTTTCACTCCTTTAAGTCTTCTTGGCTAGCCCCTCCGGCCTCCGTTTTCTCTTCATATGATCGGGGATGATTGCGAGCAAGTTGTGCACACGCTTGCTTGAACACAAAATACCGTAACAATAATGAATCTAGTATGACGTCCGGTACGGTTTTCTGATCCATGCTTATTAGACGAGGGAGAAGGACTAGGATGGAGCCTTCCCCCTTGACTATTTCTTAACAATCCTTTCAAAAGCCCTCGTCCAATGAGAAGAAAGCTCGTCTTTGGGATATCCAACATTCTATCTTCCATATCTATTTCATTTTGGCCTTGTATTTGTGAGGATGGAAGGCCACACCTATTGTAGTAGTTAGGGATGAACATTGGGCGCATCATCCACTGAACCCACTCAAAACCACCTGCTCAAACCCGACCAATCATAGTATGGGTGGGTATAGTGGGCGGATATGGGTTGCTTCACGTCTAACCCATCAAAATATGAGCGGGTTGAACCCGCCATCCACACATTATCGACACTAAATCACAAAAACCTCCTCCAAACTAATTCTTTTCACAATTTCCTTTGTACTTCTTTCCAAAATTTGATCGTTGAATTCTATTTGTCAATCACCAATGATTTTTCCCGAAATTCATGCGTTTATATACTAATTAGTCTTTGTTTCCGATTCCAATTATATCTTTACCTCATTACTACTTTTCAAGTAAGGTTACTATACAGTTTTATAAGAGTGTTCCCTAAACTTTCTTTTTTGTCAATCAAATGGATGTTTTGTTATGGATTCATTTTGATTCATGTTTGGTTATTCATACTTGTATTCAAATCTATCAAAAACAATTTCATCCACCCAATCCACTTGTAACTCGCATCAAATCCACCCAGTAGGGCTGGTAATCAATTAACCAGTTACCTGTTTAACAGACTACTGAACCAGTAATCAATAGTTATCGGTTAAACCGAAAGCTGACGATGTTGGTTGGCGGTAGTAAAAGAATAGCAAACGATATTATCAGTTTTTATTCGGTTTATAACCGGCGATAAGCCAGTATACCGGATATGCAAACCCCATAGGTGAAAACCCTTCTTTCTCTAATCTCTCTCTGTCTTCTTCCCAACAATCCACCACTCACTATCACCATCTCCGTTTCCATCTCCGTCTCCTCCCATTCTCAATGCCTTCTAGATCAAACAAATTCAGCATCTCACAGTTCCAGGAATCATCCCGCACCCGAAGAACATATTTGATTGTCTCTCTAAGTAACTCCTTCATTGCTTCCTGGGTGTTGCATGGTGGAACAAAGGGATTGGAGAGCAGATCTAAAGCAGAGGGTAGGCCGCAGCAGAGCTGTCGGCCAACAAATGTGCACGGATTGAATATTCACCGCTTGATGTGATTAATTGGACGAAGCAGGAAGGAATTCTGAGGAGAGGAAGAGTTATGTCGTTATAGATTCACAAAGCAGGGAGAGCTCTTCCTAGTTCTGGTTTTTTTTCCTACCAAAATTGATTTAATTAGCTCAACCTCTCAGTTCGTTCCCTCTTTTCTGGACTCCATCTCCCATTCTGTCATCCTCGGTGAATCATCGACAAACACCAGCCGACGAACGACGAACACCGGTTGTCAACATGTTCATGTTCAGCGAATCACCGACAAACACCAGTCGTTTTCCTCGATGGTGAATTGTTTCAATGGTGGCGCCCTTGGTTGAGAGCTTGCATTCCTTAGCGTCGGAAGGATGTATGAGGAAGGAGGAGAAAGGAAATGTGAGGATGTGAGAGGCAAAGTTGGTGGTATTGTTGATTTGTGGAGGCAGAGAGTGCATAAAGGTTGGGTAAAAAGCTTTTTCCGCATGTATGATTTGTTGATGCTTTATCCACCTCAATCCTGACTTCATGTTGGACACCAACTGCACTTGCAATCGCTCTTCCCTCTTCTTCGAATTTTGGCTCCATATAGGAATGAACAAGATCTTCCTCTTTCTTGATGTTCATTTCCTCTTCCAAAATTTGGTCCATCTCCCAAAAACTTGCTTGCTTATCAATATCTCGGGAGCTCTCCGAAATGAGTCCTTTTCACTCCTTTAAGTCTTCTTGGCTAGCCCCTCCGGCCTCCGTTTTCTCTTCATATGATCGGGGATGATTGCGAGCAAGTTGTGCACACGCTTGCTTGAACACAAAATACCGTAACAATAATGAATCTAGTATGACGTCCGGTACGGTTTTCTGATCCATGCTTATTAGACGAGGGAGAAGGACTAGGATGGAGCCTTCCCCCTTGACTATTTCTTAACAATCCTTTCAAAAGCCCTCGTCCAATGAGAAGAAAGCTCGTCTTTGGGATATCCAACATTCTATCTTCCATATCTATTTCATTTTGGCCTTGTATTTGTGAGGATGGAAGGCCACACCTATTGTAGTAGTTAGGGATGAACATTGGGCGCATCATCCACTGAACCCACTCAAATCCACCTGCTCAAACCCGACCAATCACAGTATGGGTGGGTATAGTGGGCGAATATGGGTTGCTTCCCGTCTAACCCATCAAAATATGAGCGGGTTGAACCCGCCATCCACACATTATCGACACTAAATCACAAAAACCTCCTCCAAACTAATTCTTTTCACAATTTCCTTTGTACTTCTTTCCAAAATTTGATCGTTGAATTCTATTTGTCAATCACCAATGATTTTTCCCGAAATTCATGCGTTTATATACTAATTAGTCTTTGTTTCCGATTCCAATTATATCTTTACCTCCTTACTACTTTTCAAGTAAGCTTATTATACGGTTTTATAAGAGTGTTCCCTAAACTTTCATTTTTGTCAATCAAATGGATGTTTTGTTATGGATTCATTTTGATTCATGTTTGGTTATTCATACTTGTATTCAAATCTATCAAAAACAATTTCATCCACCCAATCCACTTGTAACTCGCATCAAATCCACCCAGTAGGGCTGGTAATCAATTAACCAGTTACCTGTTTAACAGACTACTGAACCAGTAATCGGAAGTTATCGGTTAAACCGAAAGCTGACGATGTTGGTTGGCGGTAGTAAAAGAATAGCAAACGATATTATCAGTTTTTATTCGGTTTATAACCGGCGATTAGCTAGTATACCGGATATGCAAACCCCACAGGTGAAAACCCTTCTTTCTCTAATCTCTCTTTCTCTTCTTCCCAACAATCCACCACTCACTATCACCATCTCCGTTTCCATCTCCGTCTCCTCCCATTCTCAATGCCTTCTAGATCAAACAAATTCAGCAGCTCACGGTTCCAGGAATCATCCCGCACCCGAAGAACATATTTGATTGTCTCTCTAAGTAACTCCTTCATTGCTTCCTGGGTGTTGCATGGTGGAACAAAGGGATTGGAGAGCAGATCTAAAGCAGAGGGTAGGCCGCAGCAGAGCTGTCGGCCAACAAATGTGCACGGATTGAATATTCACCGCTTGAGGTGATTAATTGGACGAAGCAGGAAGGAATTCTGAGGAGAGGAAGAGTTATGTCGTTATAGATTCACAAAGCAGGGAGAGCTCTTCCTAGTTCTGGTTTTTTTTCCTACCAAAATTGATTTAATTAGCTCAACCTCTCAGTTCGTTCCCTCTTTTCTGGACTCCATCTCCCATTCTGTCATCCTCGGTGAATCATCGACAAACACCAACCGACGAACGACGAACACATGTTCAGCGAATCAGCGACAAACACCAGCCGTTTTCCTCGATGGTGAATTTTTTCAATGGTGGTGCCCTTGGTTGAGAGCTTGCATTCCTTAGCGTCGGAAGGATGTACGAGGAAGGAGGAGAAAGGAAATGTGAGGATGTGAGAGGCAAAGTTGGTGGTATTGTTGATTTGTGGAGGCAGAGAGTGCATAAAGGTTGAGTGAAAAGCTTTTTCCGCATGTATGATTTGTTGATGCTTTATCCACCTCAATCCCGACTTCATTTTGGACACCAACTGCACTTACAATCGCTCTTCCCTCTTCTTCGAATTTCGGCTCCATATAGGAATGAACAAGATCTTCCTCTTTCTTGATGTTCATTTCCTCTTCCAAAATTTGGTCCATCTCCCAAAAACTTGCTTGCTTATCAATATCTCGGGAGCTCTCCGAAATGAGTCCTTTTTACTCCTTTAAGTTTTCTTGGCTAGTCCCTCCGGCCTCCTTTTTCTCTTCATATGGTCGGGGATGATTGCGAGCAAGTTGTGCACACGCTTGCTTGACCATCTAACCTAGCCTCTCCGTTTTCCGGAGCATATCCTTCATTGTCTGTAGTAAAGAATAGTCGATAGGGGTGGTTGAGGATTCCACATCGGAGCATGCTTCGGTATCCCTAGTGAACTACTCCACCAAAAGCTCTAGGTGTCTTTTTGGCTCCGGTTGTGGAAGACTTTCTTCATGATACTGGGAAGTTTCTTGTAGTTCCCAATGGTATTGTTGTTCGTTTGGGAAGGGAGGTTTATAAAAGAATATGAACCCTTGACTTCCCCAACCTTGATTTTTCCATGAAGCTCCAGGGTAATCATCTTCGGGTATTGATGAATACCTCCACATTTTGGTGAAGTCATAAAGTCATAAGGATCCATGATTCAAAAGCTATAAACAACAAAACACTAAAAAGAAGATCAAACATGCACACCCCACCCTTCGAGGGGAGAAGAGTGGGTGAAAACAAAGCACAAAAAGGAAAACACATTATGTAATACTCCTACTAATTTAAGAAATAAATAAAGGCTAAATTAACAACTCGATGGTTTTCTATTAGTTACCAAGGTTCCCCGACAATGACGCCAAAAAGTTTGATTGCTTCATTTCGTGCAGTGGTTAGCACATATCAATAACTACCCCATCCTAGGCCAAGTTTAACCTAAGATGGCATTGTCATATAGTGGTGATCAAGGTCGTATTCACTCGGGTCTCGGTACC